AGATCCTCCAAATGCTCGATCAATCCACTTGATAAATTTGGACTTGGTCGGTTATTTATTTGCACTCCCTTTAGTGTGAACGATTAATTTCTTTCATGTCCCTCCGTAGAGAATTTGAAACATTCATAACAACGGGTTTCGGGAGTGCTTTGGGTGCATTTGAGGATGTCATGCGTAGTGATGATGGAGATTACGTTTTTTTTTAAGGTAGAGAAGTGGAGTTTAGTTGAAGATATGTTTTGTGGGGTGGAGTAGATGATGGGAGTGTTTTGTCTCTCACTTTTATCAAGATAGAGAAAAAGCAAACAATAAAAAAAATCAAAGAGAAAAAAAAAACGCAAACACACAGTTAAAAAGCATTGCCTTTAATTTCCCCGAAAACGACGCCAAATTTGATGGCACTAAAGTCACTTGTACCTCAAAATGAATTAACTTGTAAGGGCTAATACCGTAGTATAACGTAATAGAGTTTATATCCACAAGGAAAAGTGTTTTTCACGCGTGTGTGTAAGAGTAAGAAATCAAAGTAAATGGAAGGGGGTTGGATATTGTGATAATTGAGAAAGCAAATAAAACACAAAAATGAATGATGTGCTTGTTTTTCTATTTTAATCAATATAATTACTCCCTCTTAGATTATTAATCACGAGACACATGCATTAGTAATCTAAGGTTACTACTTGTGGAAGGACCAAGTGAATAACAAGCGTATTCATTACCGATTCTAGTAATAATCAATATGTAAACATCAATTAATTGATCACTTAGCGATGCTCAATTTTTTTTAACAAAAGAAATCTTCTATTAAGAAAGGGTAAAGGTACAATGCAAAAAGAAAGATAAAAGGAAAAGGCAAACAAAAGGAAAGCAACGAAAAGAGAAGACTTAACCCTGAGTAAACGAGTTCATCCCCATACGAAAAACAAGCTCTAGTTCCCTTAGTCTACAACGGGAAAAAATCATCAACAGTTAGCGCGAGTTTTGCTTAGAGAATGTTGATTCTTGTTTTTGTAATTTTTCATCTGCGAGTTCATATTATTCATAGGCACATAGTTATCCCTCATGACTAGCAATGCCTTATTGCAGATATCCTTATCAGTATGAAAATCCTATAAATGCTTCATCGTCAATATAGGAGCCCGCTTTTCATTCTCTGAAATGTGTGACCTGAGAAAATACCCCTCGAGGAGTCGAGATCCACATCTTCACGATATGATAAATCTGAGTGTTCAAAAAGTAAACTAGTTGAAGCTGCCTAAACTAGAAAGTGATTAATATTCAAGAGAAGAGGATTAAAGAAATAACTCAACTTGAAAATCACTAGGTTGAAGATAGCTAAACCAAGCTTAAAAGACTACCTAAATTACAATAATAAAGTATATATGAAAGAGGAGATTGATTGGTGTTTAAAATGTGAAGGAAATAGGTGTTTTTATAGGAGAAATGAAGTGGTTGGGTTGGATACCCGACCAGGTATCCTTGGCAGTAGCTACACAAGTGTTGAAATCTAGTCACACCCGACCAGATATGTCAATATACCCGATCAAATATTAGACCAAATCTGATATACCCACGTTCCCTTTCTTTATTTGATCTCTTATGATCTCCGGGTCAAAGCATACCCGATCGAATATTGGATATACCCGACCGGGTGTGTGACCAAAATGAATTTTTCACATTTCTTTTGTCTTCCATGATGAATCGCCTTGTCTTCAAGATCCTTCCTTATGCTTTCATGTTCCGTCCTCTTTCTCTTCGATAGTGTTTTTTACTTACATGTCACAATCTCTTAATATCCTCTAATTCTAATCTTATTTGGAAGATAAAGATTACACCGTAATTGTACAAAACCAAAGTAAACACAACGAAAATCCATTCTAAAATGTGGTGTTTATGCACTACTAAATATCAAATATCATCCTTTCCCCTAGCTCATTGAATGAAGGAAGTAGATGATCAATTAACCTCAATTTTAACTCAAATGTAGCACCTTCATCATGAATGAGGATGGTGATACACAAGAGTTGTTGGTTGACATTCGGGGCTGTGAGATCCCTTAAGGTTATAGTCTCCAATGCCATATGAGTAGCTTGATCTTCGGTACTTTAAAACTTTTTTTAAAACCTCTCGAAGACTTGTTCTATTTCTGGGTTTGTTTGAAGGGTAATTTCGTTTTTGCAATGGGTTTTTACCATATTCTCTCAAAACACTCAAAAAGGATTTAGAATAAGGTGTTTACAAATGAAAATTTATTTCCCTTCCCTGTCAACGGCGCCAAATGTGAAGGCACTAAAGTCGCTCGTGCCTCAAAATAAATTGACTACTGGCACTAATACCGTAGCAGAGTTCGTGTCCACAGGGAAAGAAATTCATCTTTTGTGAAATTGGAATAATAGGGAGGTTTAAAATTTGTATGAACTTAAGAATATTCATACATTAAGATGAATGAATTATGAGGTAATAAAATCCAACTGAGATGGTGACTTGGTTTTGCTAATTTGCACTTAGTGAAATGCTTGTAGATTACTATAATAACTCCAACTATCCACTCTTGAATACTCAGTCGTAGAACATTTAAAATTCATTGATGATAGTTATTAATAATGAGACATGTTCCGCCCTTAATAACCCTTAGTATCTAGTCAATATAGAACAAACGCCTTATATTGACGTGATCATAGCAATTTACTTTTAGATGAAATCAACTGAGATTGACAAACTCAACACAAGCAGTTTATTGGTTTAATCAATATAACTAATCCCCTTTTGCACGATCTTTTGTTCTTCAATACCTTCTAATGCCCGCGGTAAGGTCACGCCTGATTTAGTGTAGGTAGACACCTTATCGGGTGTGTCACGTAGATTCCAGGAAGCTCAGAAATCACCTCATACCCGCCTGAGTATAGGTAAAAGCTGATCGGGTGTTGTATCAAAGTAATCATTACTTCCTTTGTTTGGCCTTCTAAGCATCTCTTCTTTGTGCCTTCAATTGCTATGACAAACTTACTACTTTAAACTCACAAATGACGTACTACTTACAAACAATCAAAGAGGAATTAAAATAGTACATTGTAAACATCCGAAATAAGCACACATACCTCATAAAAAAATCCGGAGATAAAATATTTATGCAGTAACGTTTAGTGCATATAAACATGGATGTGTTTAAAATCGTTGTTGAGGGAATGCTCACATTACCAAGTTCCACTATAATGACTTGAATCATCTTGTCACATTATTGTAGATAACGTTTAGTGCATATCAACATGGAAGGGCTACATTGGAAACATATTGTTAGACATTTAGAACTGTTAAGTCTATTGCCTCAAATCCTCAACTACAAGGGAGATTGAGATGTCAATGTTGCCGGATTTAGTGAAGTCTCCATCGCCCATGAACTAGACAAGCAATTGGCCGATTTTTCCAATTAAGGTTGATCGTCATGGAATGTGCAAGGTTTGACTGACACTCTGAAAAAGAAAGTAAAAATTTTGTGATTGAAGTTGCATTCAAACTCAACCAGAATTTAGAAAGGAGTGTTGTTAAGGTTTTATCATGTGAATGTATGTTGTATGTAGATGGTAAAATAAGAAAAAGGTGGTTTACTTTGTAGAGTAGATTAGATTAGGGGTGGGCGCGGTCCAGAACGGTCCGGGAAATTAGTAAAACCCGTAATGTATCCGTGAGGTTTCTAACGGTCCAGTACGGTCCGGTTCTAAAGATGGAACCATTCGGTACCGTGTCGTTTCGGAACGGTACAAAACGGTACGGTACAATGCCAAACACATGCTAAAAAAATTGGAAAAATCTTGCAATTAGTAGATATCATAATACCAACTAATTCACATGATGTTTTGATATAAATACAAGAAATTGCATACGTAGTATTAAAATTCACAAACACACCAATAGTGCAACATAACTAAGAAAAAGTATAGCAACATGATGATACATGACATAAATATCATCTTAAAATTACTAGGTTCATGTGAAAATATAAAAAGAATATCATCAAGTTGTTGAATGTAATAGAAAAAATCATCGTTCTTCTTCTTTGTTCTTGATTAAATATTAGTTCTAATTTAATTTATAGTTGGACTTGAGAGAAGATTTAAACCATATTAATTAAGTTGTAGTTGCACAAACATGATACAACAATAAGTCATATACACTTAATTACTAGAAATGAATAGGCATTAATAATTATTAAAACTTTAACTTTGTTTCAATATATACCAAAATATAACACAAATTATCTAAAAAGAAAAAATAACAATATACATATAAACACACCCATTTAGCTATTTTAGGGACACATGAATACATACTTGGGTATAAAATTGTTGGCCTATAAAATACGGAGTAGATTTATTGGTGTCAAAAAATATAAAAATTCAAATGTATTATTTTTGAACGGTCCGGTCCGGTATTTTTCGGTTCTCAAAATCTAGGACCGATCCCATACGCGTTTCAAACGGTACGGTTTTGGTTCGGGATAAAAATCTATAGAACCGTTTAAATACCCGATATTCGGTTCGGTACCATTACGAGCCGGTTCGACACCGGTTCCGTTCGGGTTTTATGCCCACTACTAGATTAAATGTCGGGACATGGAAGTGTAGAGGGAGTAGAAAGCGGGCCCTGGTCACATTATATTCCTAAAGGTCCCTCCCTTGAATGTATAGTATGTGACATTGGGAGGGAGCTAGCCTTACAGATCTTAGCTTATTCGGAGCAAGCTAGCTAGCCAGCCAATAAGGTTCCCCGAAAACTTGTGGCCTGAAGAGCGACACAAACCACCTCTTCTGCGCCTTTAACCAATCAACGACCGAAAACAAAGCGGACTAAACAACCCCGGTTTCACCCAATCCGCGCTAAAGGACCGCCTTCGACCTGATCTTTTTTTTTTTGAAAAGGATCTCCACCCCTTTTATTTTCCACATTTATTTATTTATTTAATCTCTATATGTGTCCTGTATATATATATAAATTTGAGGGCAGGACCGACCGAGTATATATAGAAGATGCAGGTCTGCCGGCATATATATATATATATATACCATACCTCCCATATACATATAAATATCCATAGGGATCGGTCATCGAATAATTGATCTGAGATGGGGAGAGGGAGGGTGCAGCTGAAGAGGATCGAGAACAAGATAAACCGGCAGGTGACCTTCTCGAAGCGCCGGACCGGGCTGCTCAAGAAAGCCCACGAGATTTCGGTTCTGTGCGATGCCCAGGTCGCCCTCATCATCTTCTCCGCCAAAGGCAAGCTCTTTCAGTACGCCACTGAATCTTGGTATGTATGCCCACCTACTACCCTTTCCTTTCTTCTCAGATCGATCTTTTCTCTCATCCGTCCGTATACTTATAAATCATCGATTCTCTGCTTTGATTTGCTTCTTCTTTTTCCCATCTCCTTAAAAAACCTCAGCTTTGGGGTGTTCCGTACGTACGTACGTACGTCTAGCTCTGTCAGAACCCGAAAGTATTTTTTTGAAATCTAATTGGGGCTTCTTTGTCTTGATCTTCTTGACATGGTTCCATTAGATCACACATTCTTGGTTTTCATTTTTTTGGCTAATGTTGTTGGGTTTTGAGAATTAAAACCCAGGTGGATTTTTTCCCAACTTAATTAGTCATATTACTAATAAATGGGAAAGTGTCATTCTTTGTTTGAAAAATGATAAGTCATTATAGTACTGGGGGCATAGTACACATTTCATCATCATAAGGGGCAGGGTTTAATTTGCTACAGATTTAATTAGTGTTGACTTCCTTACCATCTTGGTCTTCTTTCCTCCAAGCTGGCAAGCTGCTACTTTTTATAATCATCTGCGTAAGAAGTAAGAATTATAAATAGGTAGTTCCTTATAAATATACTAGGATCAAACCGGCCTGCCTTTTCAAAAAGGACGGCCGGCCTTCTTGTCCTTTTTCCAAGTGCCTCTGCGCAAGACTGCGATTTTTTTTTTCTTCTTAAAAAAAGAATTAATTTTATGAATATGCAGTTTTTTTTAGAATATTGATGCATTAATAATGTATGTTCACCTTAGAAAACATCCCCTGACTCCTTTCTTTTTCCACATTCGGTAATAAGCCAAAATAAAGGAGCCTTCTTAAATACGAGGTAGTAGTAAATAACTAACTTTCTTATATAGCAGAAAGTTTGATAGTGCTGCGTATATAACGGTTAGCTGCATGCAAATCAACTGGGCATGTATAGCTCCAGCCCTGTCCACGTACTACAATAATTCATAAAAAGAAGAAATATATCACGAATTCAAAACTGACTTTAATTAGCTTTTCATATACATCTGATCAAAACCCTAGCCTAGCGATCAAAGGATGTATGTTTATAAACATATACACATACATAAATATATGCATGCATAGATTTATATGCTATAATTATCTAGCTTGTTATAGTGACCATTTGAATGCAAGAATGGGAAAATTGTTGTGGTTTTTATTTCTCACTTTTAGGGCATCGTATGGTCACTATAAACCCATTACTTTTTTTTTCAAACACCATCATTCACATTGCTATTCTCAAGATCGAACTAATCAAGCGTACTCTAAATTCATTGGGTTTTAAGAAATTTGGATTCTGTCTGATTGCGTTCCGGTTTTGGGTGATTGAGATTTCTCCTCAAAAAATACTTCTTCAACTTTGTGTTAGACTGTGTTCAATAATCTTGACTAATAAATTATATTTTTGTGAAATTTATAATAAGTCTTATTTTATGAGAATATTTTTAGAAAAAAACATTTTATATATCAATGTATCATTGGCCAAAGTTTGACATAATTATCTAGCAAGAAGTTTAACTTTAAAAATAATTAAGTTGTAAGGCCATATATAGAATTGCGAAAATACAAATTTAAATGTCTAAACACAAAGGGTGAAGTTTTAAACTTGGACTTATTATCCTTACTACAGTTAAATATTTGATTGATTAATTAACTAATAATTCATAGTATATTAATACATTATGCACAATAAACACCACGTGGTCATCAATGTGGCTCTAAATTCTTAATATATTACTTGCTATACAAAGTGCAATATTAGATACAAAATAACTAAACATCATCAACCCACACATTATTCAATCAAGTCATAAAAAATGTAAATATGTAATTAATGAACTTGACTTTTGATGTTGGCTCGGATAGTCATTTTCAAATTTGAAGATCATTGGAGCTTTCACAAGTACAATTTTATGTTAATGAAAACAACAAATATATTGACAAATAAAGCTTCACAAGCTCATAAGTAAAAGTATAAAACCAAACTCAAAACCTTTTATTAATTAGCAAATGGTGGAAGCTTAATTAATCGTAGCAAAAAATGTAAAATTATTGTAAATGAAATGCAAACATCAAAATTTGAAGCCTATGGCATTGAAGACGATCTCTATACCATACTTCAATATATTGTTCAAGCCCCCAATAACCACCAATCATCAAAGTCATCCTTAGCTTTTTAAATTATTCCCGCATTAAAATACTAAGTTGGAATACCATAAAATTGTAAGATTCTAATATAATATAAGATAATTGTTATTTAATACTTCACGCCTTTGGATCATATCATGTGATTTCTTATTCAATTCATAGAGGATTGGGACTCATATAAACCAATTTAGTAGCAGCTACTACCAAACAACTACTAAATATATATATATAAAACAGCTTAATTGTATATGCAGTTAATTGCAAAATTAACCATGATTGTCATGAAAGGCCATAATATCCTTATGTAGCATTTGGTGAAATCTATCACCATTGCACAACAATTGAAATTTAAAAATCCAAGAGAGAAGTTGTATTACCAATTCATCACTAAGGACATGTTTACTCTACGGGTTACTAAGCGGTGATTATTAAGACTTGCATTAATAATCACTGCGAAAAATAAGCAATGTTATAAGCTCATGTTTACTTCACAGGATTTAAAACACCGTTTAAAATTATAATGTCCAAAATAACCCTATACATATATAGACACACAAACATTCATGTATACACAAGAATATATATAATACGTGGGGGCCTACCCTTTACCCAACCCTACTCCCCTACCACCCGTAACGCGTAACCCTGCCCCTAACCCCTACCCCAACCCCTCGCTCGTACCCCTACTGATATGCACTAATTAGAAGTGTGCATAAATGTATATTTTTATGTTTGATTTGTGTGTATTGTTTACCATTTTTATTAGTTTGTAAACATTTGTTTTATTTGGTTTGTAATTGTTTTTAGCTTCGATTTATAAGTTGTAAAGTAGTGGTAGAGTTTTTGGCAAGGAAAAGAAGGAAAAACAAGAGGAATGCTGCCCAGGGACACTTACCCGGTCAGGTAGGAATACTCACCCGGTTGGGTACGATTTAACAAGCGAAAGTACCTGGAAAATCACTGGACCCGGTTGGGTCCCCTACTTGACCTGGTCGGGTCAAATGTGACCTGGGACAAAACGACGTGCTGAAACACAAGAACGTGGAAGATTATCTGATTTTGACATGCACCCGGTCGGGTGGGCACTTGACCCGGTCGGGTACCCGGCACAAGGTGTTGAAAAACACCTACAAATAGCACACTTTTCCTTCACAAATAATCATCCGTTCTTCCATATACTTAAGCTCAGTTTAGAATAGTTATTTCTTACATTTTTATAGCATGTTTAGTCTCCAAATGAGGAGCTAAACTTCCAATTCTTGGTGTTGCTCTTGAAGCTTGTTGATTATTGAAGTTGTGAGTTATTTTCTTAACTACTTCCCTTGAATATTAATTCTTCCCTTAATCTATCTCTATATTCTTTTACCGCGGAAGGTCAACCACCAAAATCAGTGGGGTAAATGCCGGGGGACATTTACCAGTGTTGGGGAGTGTTGCTAAGATGACAATTATTTAACATTTCGACATTAATTACTACTAGAAACGATCAACGAACCGATGGTTAATCGTTTATGATTTCACAAGTAAGTAACTTCGGTTTATTAATGCACGGTCGTGGTTAATAAACTTAAGAGGGATTAATCTTGTTGGTTAAACCGAAACCATTGTGTTGAAGTTATCAATCTCAATTGATTTCATCAAGGAGTTAAGAGATTAAATTCTACTATTAAATCGGTATACGACGTTGTTCTATATTTGATTATAGTAAGGCTTATTAATGAATGGTCGTTGTTAATAACTACCCTCGATGAATTGGAGATACTGCTCAATTGAGTATTCGAGAGGGGAGAAGTTATAGATATAACAATGATCGACTAAAATATATCACCAAGTGGAAAGTAGCAATGTCAAGTTCTTTTTATCTTTGAATTAAATCACATATAAGTTGTTCATCTTGGTGTTTAAATTAATTAAATTTCAACAATCCCAAAACCCCCCTTTTATTAACTAGTTTTATAAAAAGAGAATTATTCCTTTCCCTGTGGATACGAACTCTACTTCACTATACTACATATAAGTGTTAGTATCGATTTATTTTGACGCACCGTGACAAAGTGCTCGTTAAATTTGGCGCCGTTGCCGGGGAAAGGCATTTTTTTTTTCTTTTTTATTTTTTCTCATAAAAATCAAAAACAAAAAAATAAAAAAAATAAAAAAAAGTATTACTCTTCTATTTTCTGAGCTTACATGAGTTATGAGTATATGGATACCAACACTTCATCCTTAGAGAGTCAAATTTCCTTCTTGACTTCTCTAGTAATGGAATTTATCTTAAGCTCAAAAGCTCAAGATGCCAAGACATGCAACATTTGCATGTCTCACAGGCATCTTACGGGTTTCTGTCCAAAGCTCCAAGATGAATACCTTGAACAAATTGATTATGTTGGTTACGAAAGGAATGTACCTCATATGAGGTATGATCCGTTCTCCAACTCTAACATGTCTACGGAGGATATGGTCCGGGCTATTGCTACCAACATGACCACCATGCAAAACAACATGGTGCAATTCCAAAATGAGACCAAGTCTAGCATTTCAAACTTGGAAACTCAAGTGATTCAAATAGCCAGAGCCGTAAGTAGGCTTGAAGCAAGGGATTCGGAAAAACTTCCCTCTCAAATTAAATGTGATCCTAAACAACAAACTTTTGCAATCACATTGACAAATGAAAAGGAAATGCAAAAGGAGATCCAAAATCCAGAAGAAGTAGAAGAAGAAGAAAGAGACGCAGAGCTCCAGCTAGTCAAAGAAGAGGATGAACCAAGTTTCAAGGTCAAATATCTATCCTAGTCATCCTTTGAGGTGCCCCCAACAATTCTAAAAACTTTGAGGGAAACT